CAGCGTGGACGCGATCGCCGTCAAACAGAGTCACTATCGCAGTGCGTCCTCCTTCAGCTCGAAAAACGCCCAGCGCTGAAAACCGCACTCAGGACCCGCTCGACGTTCCGTGCTTAGTGCACACTGGCAATCTGTCCATCTCTGCGCCTCCGGTGGCACCAATATGCGCCCCCGCTCGAGAGTGGGCCCGTGCCTGCGGGCTGCACGCCAGTCTCCCCACAGCCCGAGTGCCTCCGCCACGCACTTGGCGATCGCGCGGCCAGCGATGGGTCCCTGCGAGCCTCCCGAGCGTCCCAATCGAGCCCGCCCCGTCCCCGCGTCCCCGAACGGTCCACCGTCGGGACTCGGGGGGGCCACGCGATCGCCCGCCGGCGCCGGCGAGGCAGGCTCGATCGCACGAGTGACGACAGGGGCGCGCGGTGTGGTGTGTCTCGCACCCAGGCACCTGCCTACTGGACAAAGCGGGGAGCCCGCCACCGGAACGACGACCGATCGCGTCCGCTGAAACGTCCGTCGCCGGGCCCCGCAGGCGCGCCGTGGCGGCGCCGTCGTGCCCTCCGAGCCGCCCCCAAACGCGCCCCGAAGCACGCAAGTCGAGTCCTCACACCCGAGCACCTCAAGGCCCTCGCCTTTGCTCGGCGGCCGCACCGATATTTCGTGGCGACCGCCTCCGCCAGCAAGTTGCCGCTTTCGGTGTTCACCGACGGCGACGTCTGGGGGAGCCGCGACGCGCCCAGGCTCAGGGCGGTCGTGATCCGTCAATATTGCTCCAGGCCTCCCTCAGCCGACACCGCCGGCGAGCGAGCGCGGACGCCGGAGGCAAATGGCAGTGGTTCGTCTGGGTCGCTGGTGCGCAACTCTGTCTCTTCGTGCCAGATTGCCTCTCCTAGTTATCCGAATCCACGACGCCGCCGCACTCCTTTCCTCCGTCGTTCGTGCGCGAGAGCGGCCTGGTCGTGTGCTGCCGCAGAGCGCGTAGCCTCGGAAGCGAGGGTGGCTCGCGGCTTCACGGTGCCCTGGCCGCGATTCAATAATTGCGAGCCTGATCGGCACGCTCCACGGCTCCGCCTGCGTCGCTTGAGCCCACCCGTCGTCGCCGTCCCCGCCGTCGTCGTCGGCCCCACTCTCTCCCGCACACTCGCACACGCGCGTACGAAAACATTCGGACCTCGGCACTTCGACGGGCGCGCGGCTCCCGCTGGCTAAGGCTTTCTGTTTTCAAGTATCCTCGCTCGCCCCTCGATTAGCAGCCGTGAGGAACCGCCGACGTCGTTTTGTAGTGCACGTATGCACGCACGTCCCGCGAACACACACACTCCGCTCGAGACGTTTGGAGTCCAAGCACGGTGCATCATACACAAGTAAAGCCCTGAGACCGGAGGAGCGCGAGACGCGACGGGCGCCAAAGCGCCGCCGCGACCTTAAGCTTTACGTATCGAGCCGCCACCGGTAGCAGGCGAAATGGCGAGTCGCGCCCCCGACGCGGCCCCGCGCGCGTCCAAACGTTCATCTATCACACACCGTTCCACTCATCCCGACACCCGCCCGCGCGGTGGAAACTTCGAACGGTGAAGTCAGCACACGATAATTAAGCTAGGGGCGGGAACCCTGTGACGGGCTGCGAAAGTTTTTCATGGAGACGGTTCGCGCTGCGCGCGACGACGGAAATATGTAGATCTGCGCCCTTTACGCGTCACATATACAACGCGATTGTAATACGTGTGGAATCGCGCGCGTGCGCAGACGGCTTGAGCCTTGCGCGGGTCGTGGGTCAGGCACGGAACGTGCTGATTGCTTACCGCATAAACGCACGCCGCACGCACGCACTAACGACACCACTAGTTGACTGGTGAACGTTCATCGACGCGCCGGACGAACATGCACATCAAAGGAAGGAAGCGCGCCGGTGCCACTGGTTGAGTACGCGCCTCCAGAGAACGGGGCGTCCGGGCCGGATGGCGGAGGAGCGGCTCGCACGTAAACGGACGCGCGCTGATTCGCCGGGCAGCGCGGGGGGCGCACGACGGCGACGGCGACGACGACGACGACGGCGAAGGGGCGTGCATCACAGAATTCTCCCTGAAATTGGCCCCCTTGCGAGCGCCTTTAGAATAGCGCTCGTCGGGACATGCGTACAAGCGTCTTAGGGGGCGCTGGGAACAGGCGCATAAGTGGGCGTCCATGCGAGATAGTGGTGAGAAAGTTGTAAATAGATGCAAACTGGGATCACTTCCGAACACGATTGCGCTCATTGTATCCGTCTTGCAAATCTGTTCCGACTCTCCCCCAACCTTTCTCTAAGGCACTTACCACCAATGATGTCACTTCTGCCCTCAAACCACTTGTTGAACGACTACACGTGATGTCCGAACTCTAATTCTGAACTAGCCAGCATCAAGCCACCCGTCCAAGCCGCCCGGCGCCCTGCCCTCCTTAATTCGCAGGCACCTTGTGCTATCCTTCAAAGCTTCACCCTTTGAACCACTTCATCATCGATCACCACCAGCTGCTCAACCCAATTCACCAGCGTCAGTGCTCTCAGCTGGGTATGTGCATGTCCCGACCAGCGCCCTGTAGTGCTTACCTGAGCCTCCTTTCAATCAACGGCCTCTTTGGAGAGGATCTTCAAGAAGGGGTCTCCGGCTTTGAGAAGACATCGCCAACGGTGGTCCTAATGGTGTAGAGGAGTACACTCGCCAGGTATGTTTCTCATGAAGAACTACACTGTCATTATCGCGCGTGCCCATACTGCGCGTGGAGCACCCGACTCCTCCGCTCCGGCGAGCTCGCGCTGCGCGAGTGCCATCTCACGCTTAGCGCGGTGCGTCGCGAGGGCGCGCGTGGCGTGCACGAGGGAGGCGTGCCCTCCTCTGCCGCGCCGCGTTCCCTCACGCTTACTGTCCTCATCTGCTCGTCCGGCACAAGCCTCGACGCCGCCGCCGTGTTCCTGGTCGCTCACCCCGTGGTCGAAGTTCTCACCTCGATATCGCCTTCGGCCAGCCCCCGTACACACCGATCCTGGCAGAAACGCAGCGGCACAGCTGAAGCTCCCTGTGGGCGCCCTTCCACGGTTCAAGGCGCCGTGGTCCTCTCCTGCCTGCTCACCACCCGGATGGAGCGCCGCGCCCACTGGAGACCGTGTGGGACGTAGGTCTCGCCAGCGGCCCTGCGTGCGACCGCACCTTCCTGGACACGTTACGCGTGCACGAGCCGAGTGTCCGTCGGGTTGAGTTCGCGGGGCGGAATGAGATGGAGGACAACCGGCGGCTCGTGGAGTGCGTGCCAAAGCTTGTGTGGCTAGACGTCGACCGTCGTGGACCTGCTCCCGCACAAACGGACACCGCAGGTACGAGTGTTGGTGTGAAGGTGGCGAATGTTGTTGCTAATGTGGTGCGTGTCTTCGTGTCTTCTTCTCTTTGCTGTGCTGACCCGCACCTTCTCCCAGGCTGAGTGGACGGCGGTGTTGCAGCAGACACCGCACCTCATGACACTCTATGGGTGTGTGTCTTCCACGCCATTGCACGCACCAACACAGCGGCGCCCAGGCTCTCCCTCTCGGATCGCTCGCGGACGCGGAAGAACGACGAGGTGGCAAGCGTGCTGGCATGGCGCTGCCCACGTCTCCGCTGCTGGGAGGATGGTGGGGGGCGTGTGGTGGTGCACATCCGGTACGGTTTTGTGGAACGTGCATACTGGGAGGGTTGCGTCTGCGAGGGTGGTCCCTTTGTGGTTGCATGGTAATCAGCACGAGAAATGTACGGTACTGCATCCTATATACATCGTCTTGAAATGGCAACCCGAAATACGTCCTCAGCCCTATAGAAGTGTGTTAGGATGGATGGTATCGTTGCCGTCCTTCCACTGCAATTGCAATCCACCGTATAATGCCTCGCTTAGGATATGCTCGTGAGACCATATAATATTTGCACTGTTACCACCCTCTCACCAGACGGTAAAATATCCTCGTCATTGACCACTCCTGGAATATTTGCTCGATTGCGAGACGATTGCAACAGTGTAGCACGCAGATTGTAAGCAGTTCTATTGGATAAATTGCGTGTTACACTGATTGCGTACCTTACACTGATAAAGCTACTTCCGATAATCTTCTAAGCAGATGCGATCACCTTGCAAGATCGGGGGGATTTCTGTGATGTGCGTAGGAAGTACGAGAGGAGATACGGCGCGGTCGACGGACGGTTGCCATGACCAAACGCGGCGAAGAGGCGCGCGCGGGAGCGGGCGCGAGGCGGGGGTGCACTGTGCGCAGCTCGCGGCTCGCGGCTCGCGTCGTATCGTGCGCTGCGAGGGGCGGCGTGAGGTAACGACTTGGGCGCGCGCGCGCATGCTCAGTCGAACGGTCGGCGCGCAGACGCGAAGGCAGAACACTCACACGAGGTCGAGCAGGTGAGGGCTGACGCCAAGTCGAGGGAGCAGGCGCACACAAGAAGGGAGACGGTTTGAACTGCGAGCGATTAATATCATCCACGTATCTTTTCGTGGGGCGGCGGGTAGAGCTAGCTAGTGCCGGGGCCTAAGTACACTTATCGGGGATAGATACTAAGTAAACCGTGAGTTCTGTCTGTAATGAGGGGTGGCCCCTTCATGGGGGCCGGGTTCTTAGTGCTACGTACCGGATTACTAATACAACATATGAGCAGAAGCCGGGATATCTGGACGGAGAGGACGGGAGCGGAGGAAAGGGGACGTACGGACGTTATGCAGCGAGATATGTATGTGTGCGTGAGGAGCATATGCGGGGGTCGTGAGCGGGCAGGGGATGATGCGAGGAGCGATGAATGCAATGCAATGCGACGAGAAGAACGACAGACGGGCAGCGAAGAAGGCCCCCAATCCCGAAACCCGGATGGCAATGCGACAGGGAGAGGGGTATAAAGATAGACAAGCGCGGATTAGAGGTCTGGGTCATGCGTGCGAAGTCGAACTATGTGAAGCAAGGAAATGTCGGCTCGAGAGAAAAGGGAGGAGCGGAAAATCGTCTACCACAAGATGGGGTTCGCGCGCGCGTAGATGTCGCCGCCGGTCGCCTTCTTGAGCACCGCGGGGACGTTGCGGCCCGAGGGGTACGTGACCACCTGCGGGTGCGGGTTCGGCGCGTAGCTCGGCGAGTCCGGCGCGGCGATCGCGGCGCTGCTCGCGGAGTGCGCGTGCGGCGCGTGCGCGTGACCCGTGCTGGAGGCGACGCGGACGTTGTGGTCCTCGTAGCCGAGCGGCGTCGAAGGGGACGCGCTCGACGCGGGGGACGTCGACGTCGACATCGACGACTCCGGGGTGTCGGGGGTGCCGGGCGCGCGGTGCGAGCTGGGCGAGGAGCCCGCGCTGTACGGCGGGGCGCCGGCGTGGACGTGAACGGGAGGGGAGATGGGCTTCGGTGGCGAAGTGGAAGGTGGCTGCTGCGTCTTGTTCGCGAACGCGGGCGCTGGCGCGGACGGGGCGGTGTAGGGGGTGGTGGAGGGCATTGGTGATGGCGCGGGTGAGGGGAGAACGTACGTAGGATACGGTCCGAAGCCCTTGAAGTCGCGCCGGACCTTGTGCTCGAACTCCTTGAGGGCTGAGGGCTCGATGTTGAGCTGCCACTCGAGGTAGGAGCACATTTCGCGCTCCATCTGGTTGATTTCTCGAAGCGCGAACATGCCCTGGCCGACGATGGACCACGACTTATTGGAGTAGGTGTCGTCGCAGATGACTTTGCTTGCTATCATGAAGGCGGAGATAAATAAGCGGTGACCTGACGACCCTCGCGCGGCGGGGAAGCGGGCTTTTAGTCGTTGGAGGAGGTAGAGGGCGGCGAACGTGACGGAGGTGTGCAGTCGTGTTCGATGGAGGGCGTAGGCGATGAAGTTGGCGAGGGGGAGTGGGACGGCGGGAGGGATGGAGGTGGATAGTGGCGGCAGGTCCGGACACGCAAACAAATGCGTGACGAAGCGCGCGCAAAGCTTCGCGGTCTCTTCATGGCCGTAGTACGGGTCCTGGTGGGAGATTCAGAATACAGAAAAGGCAGGTGGGGGAGGCGCGGGGACTCACGGCCACTTGGTGCGAGCTCGAGCCAGAGGGCCGGACGGCGGGCTTTGAATGCCTCTTGAACGGCGAGGGGTGGCGAGCAGTGGAGGGACCAGAGACGGCGGCCATGGGGAGGTGTCGCGAGACGGGGGCGGAGGGGGGGAAGGGGAGACAAAGGGGAGCCTTGTGGGGAGGGGAGGGGCAGGCTGGGGAGGATTGATATAAGCATGTGCGATACCGCTAAATGTGAGCGCAGGGGCAGGGCAAGGCGCGAGGCAGCCACCGAGACCACGGGCGGAGGCCCCGGCGCCAACGTCCGCCGCCTATCCCGGCGCCAGCCTATCAGCCCAACCTGGCACATTTCCACCAGGCCGGAGTCTGAACCCGCCCGCGCTTCTGATCCGGAAGCCCGCCGCGTGCCCGTTCGACAGAAGACTCACATTAATACGGATCGCGAGACGGCGCGTCTCGCTTGCGACGGCGAGTGTGTGAGGCGGCTCCGGTGGTGGTGGCCGCGGCGGAGGCGAAGTGGATGAGAGGCGGAGGACGACGGCTGGAGGAGGAGGAGGAGGATGAGTATATATGTCTCCGTTCGCTCGTCCAACGGCACTGCCAGGAACGGCTCCCTTGAATCTTGATCCCCTCCAGGCGCCGAACCGCCTGCTTTCGGCCAGGTCCCCCGACCCCGCGCTTGTGCCGCGCCCGGCGCCAAGCACGGCCTATGCTTTGCCCTCCCGCCGCTCTCGCTGCTGACCGACGCGCGCTGCTCGACGTCAACATCCGCCGTCCCTCCCCGCCGTTCCCGTACTCCAAGTCAGCGTCGGTCACCGGCCAGCGAGCCTCGGTCGGAGGTGCAAACATGCTCCCGTCACCCGGCCACAGCTCTCCCCCGAGCCTCCGAGCCTTGGCTCACACCGAGACCCGCGCGACGCCTGCCGTGTTGCGCTTCCCTGTGCCCGCCTTTTTCGTCAGCTTCCTGCGCCGACAGAGCCCGCCTGCGTGTGCGCTCGTACAGCACGCCCGCCGCGCTCTGATTTCGGCCCCCGCCCATACATTTCACGTCCGACTCGCGCGCGCATGCGTCGCGCTCCGCCCGCCTGCTCAAACCGATCCCGGCCTGCAGTGCATGACGGTGGCGCTCCCCCGCCCCATCCATTGCGTCCGTGCCCGTGCCTCAGCATGCCGCAGTGACGAGCCCGTTTCGGATACGCGTCTTAATTGTGCGCGCGAACAAGCGGCTCCTCCCCCGGCCCTTTGCACGCCCTTTCGAGCGACTCGCGCCGCCCCACCCAATCCACAGTTATGCGTCCGTCTATTCAGGGGTGTGCTTCTACTCAACGGCTCCTCTCTATCTCGACGTGCTCCCATCCATACAGTGCGCGAAGCTTCGCGCCCTCTCCCCGAGCAGAGCCGTCCATTCACGCCTCCGCTCGCCCGGAGATGGGCGCTCGCTCGAGACGGTGGATCATCCGCGTCGGAGCCACGTCCGCGGCGCGGTCATTATCCCGCGTAGCGTCCTGCGTTATGCCTTCTTCGCCACAAACCAAGCACCTCTGCACCCGCCATCACGCTGCCTTCAACCAAGGCCGTTTCACCTCGCGTGTTCAGTATGTGCGTGCGTGTCTTTGTCTCGCGCGCGCTGATCCGCCCCCCACCGCCTGTTGCTTACAAGGACCACCGCCGCAGGAGCTCAAACCAGTCTCCGTATGTGCAAAGCACCCAGCATACAGGTCCCCCCCCTCGGAACCAGCGCGCCCATCGGACTAGGCCTCCTGTCAGATCCAAGATCATTGGACCGTGCACGTCGAGACCGCGCTCGGCCAAGCTGCCCGTTCTCGCCGTCCCGTACGGACGCTCAGCCTCTCGCCCTCTGCCCGCCTCGATCGCGCATTGCGTGGACGCAGACGAGCACCGCGCGCTCGGTGCGGAGCCCCGCGTCCGGCAACCAAGAAAGGCGACTTCCAGGCCTCTTCCAGCCTGGAGCCCCCCTTTCGCCTATGCCCGCTTCCTTTCCTCCGCCTAAGGGCTGCTCTGCTCAGTGCTGTCCTTCGGCTTTCCGAGCGCGACGCCTTCGCGTACGTGCTGCAGCTGCCGCGGTCGTGCTCGCTTCCGCCCACGCACGCCGCTGCCGCGGACAATGCGCACGGGACCCACGAGCCGCGGTCCCCGCGCGGCTCCGATTCGACTCGATGGGCCGATCTCTGCGCGTTCAAGGGCGTCGAGATGGGAGACGGTCGGTCCTGACTCGCACTTTTGCACTAGTATGTACTGTACTATTGCAGACCACCTGCAGCAAACAGATGGGCAGGTCGACACATCACCGAGCCCTGATCCCGCCCACATGTGGCCATCGCCCTCATCGACGCCGTCGCTTGTTGCTGTCGCAGTGCTGCACATCGGTGATGCAGCGCGTCTCGCCGTGATGCTCGCCCCGCGCATCATCCCCCACGGTCACCGGCGGGAGGGCTTCCCAAGTTCCAAGTCGATCGCAGATATCGAATCCTAGCGCCGCCACCGCCCGCCGCGCGCGCGCGCGGGGTTACCCGTCTGAGCACGCTCCCGCCGGGTGCCCGGCCACACGTCGGTGCGGGCGTCGTTCGCAAAAGTCAAGACGGGCGCGGGTGCGCGGGCGGGGCGTGCGTGTAAGTAAACAGTACGTAGTTTAGGGGGGACCTCTGCGCGCGGCGCCCACAAGCCGCCGACAGTGACATCTCTACTTGCGGGCTGACGAAATCGCTCTCGCTTCGCCAGCTTCTGGCCCGGCTTTCTCCTGCGCGGGCGGTGTGGGGTGGTGTGGACGGTCTCCTCGTGCGATTACGCTCGCGCGCGCATACACGTTCCTGGCGGCGTTCACGCGAAGACGCGACGCCGCGTTGAGTCGCCGGGCAATTTCCGTGCAGGGAACGTGCCTCCCCCGCCCCGCAGATGCGACCGCGCGAGTCGCGCGCATCCCGATAAGTACGTCGAATCAGCGCGTCGCGCTGCTACGGATGCGCGCACGCCCGGCGGGGGGCAGCCGGTGGCCTCTTGGGGGTGTGGACGTGGCCGAAGTACTCGTCCCGAGATCGTAGCGAGTACGACATCGGCCACCTCCACACCCCCACGCATCCATTCTCCGTTGCTTGATCAGAGCTGTCGAAGCTCGGAGACCGTGGCCCGCCCGTCCACGAAGGAAGGACGCGTCGCCGCGTTGTGTGTCCGCGTGTGGGCGCGCGCTTCCAGTGGTCGACACGGCCGCTCCCGCGAGCCTCCCCGCCGTAGTATGTGGTACGTACGCAGTGTGTGCAGATCGCGGTCCACGCCCGAGTCCCGAGTCTCGTCCTCGCCCGCCTCCGTGCTTCCAGCGTCGCTTCGCTCGGACCGCTCTCGCGTGGGCGCCGCGGACCCCCGTCGTCACGCGCCCAGGTCGTGGAATAGGGTGTGCCAGGCTCGAGTCGCTGCACGCAGCTGGGGAGCGGCCAGGTTCGCCGAGCAATGCACACGCGCAGGCGAACCCTCGAACCCAGCTCCCCGCACGGCCCAGCGCACCCTCCGCGGCGGGCGTCCCCTAGCCCCGCGTCGCCGTGAGGTGACTCAAAGTCCCGACGAGCACAAGAGGTCGCTGGCTGCATACGTAGCTGGGCACGCGCGCGCACGCACGGACCCTGCGCGTGAAAAAGCCTAAGCCACGTTTTCACCTCGATCGCTGTCGGGACTGTGATCGGAAACGGGAGCGCAGAATGCTTGTGCTTCCCATCCACCAGTGCACCGTACACCCCTATCCACTCTTTTCCTCGACAGAGCCCGCGGCTCCATCCCGAGGGGTTTTCGCCAGCTTCCTGCCGGCGGCAGACGTCCCCCGCGTTGGGTGCGTGCGTTTCTCGGCTGGACTGCGTCGTGCTCAGTCGCGTTTTCAGGTGACCAATGGTCCGGTCATACAGTACGTCTTCGAGGCCCGGTCCAAGCGTGTGTGCGCGCGTGTCCGAGGTTCTTTCACAAGTAAATGCTATGAACGGGTAAAACACCGCCTTCCATGCATCCGCACCACCCTCCCGCCACGATAGCGTTCGATGTGAGGAGTGACTTTGACCGGCACTGTGCGTGCGCCGCGCACCTTCAACGTTCGACGCCTCCACAGATGAACGATCACACGAAGCTCCGCTCGTGCGTGTAAAGGTGCACGTGCCCCTGCCTATGCTCTTTGCCCTTTCGCCGCTCACTGCTTTGCTATGTACTCCGAGGACGGTGCGTAGCTTCGCGCGACGATGACCGTGATGACGTCATCACGTCCGCTCAGCCTCCAAGCGCTCACCGCCTTACGGCGAGGTCCCCACCGGAGCCCTTCAAAGTTCAAGCATGCGAATCTTTGCGACTTAGCTTCAGTCAGTCGATCCTCGCACACGTACAGCCCACGCCCATGACCCGCTGCGGTGGCTGTAGGTTTTGCTCCTGCAGAGGCGGAGGGTCGAAATCCCGACCCGCCGGAGATCCGTTGGCCCAAATCGGTGCACCGCCACATTCCGTCACCGCACGATGGATCTCTTGCCTGTTCCGTGGGCGAGTGATCGGGATGGCGAGCACTACGAGTAGGAGGTGCGCGGAGGACGACGGGGTTTTCGGTGAAGCTTTGGGTTGTTGCTCACTTTGACTCTGCGTTGGACAGATACACATGTGCATGCGGTACACACCGGCTGAGGATCAAGTTCGCCACGGGTTAAATGCTCACACGGTTAGAACTCAACACGCACGAGGCGGAGGGACGAGGACGAGCGGCAGTCAAGTTACAACACATGGGAAAACACAGCTGTCCAACAAGCGGTCGATGACGGACGTCCTCGACTTCTGGTCTCCACCGTCGGCGTTGGCGGCCTGCGCGACCCGCTTCCCTCGGCAACACGGACGCCCGCTGCCCAGAAAGCGAAGATCTCCCGGCCACGTTCCGCGCGACGTCGTTCCACTCCCCAATGCGACTTTGCTCGAGGCGCCGCCGCGGACTGCGCACAGTGCGGCGAGCTCTGCCTCCGTCGTCTCCTGCCGACCCTCTGCTACTCTTTTATGCAGTCGCTGAGATTCGACGGCGGGCTACGCAGCCCGACGCCGCGCATCGCCCCAGGGTGCACTCGTCGCTGCGGGCCAATCGCTGCTGGACG